CAAAATCTTTAAGATGAAAGTATGAAGGAGCATATCCATATAACAATTCATAGGGACTTTTGTGATTAAGGAGAGGAGAAGGAAACCTATTGATCAAGAATGTTGCAGTGAGAAGGCAGTCTCCCCAGAACCTGATGGGAAGATGAGATTGAAATAATAGAGCTCTGGCAGTTTCAAGCAAATATATGTGCTTCCTTTCCACCACTCCATTTTGTTGGGGAGTGTGTGGGCAGGAAGTCTAATGCTGGATGCCTTTCTCAGAGAAAAAATGAGAACCTAAAGTACTGGAATCTAATTCTAAGGCATTATCACTTCTGACAGCCTGACTTTAGTTTAAAATTGTGTTTCAACCATGGAAATGAAAGCCTTAAGTCAAAAGCATTACTCTTGGATCCCATAAGATGGGTCCAAGTGGCCCTAGAATAATCATCAACAATGGTCAAGAAGTACTTGGAACCATTATAAGTGGGTGTGGGATAAAGTCCCCAAGTATCTATATGAACTAATTGGAACGGATGAGTGGACTGTATGCTACTTTCTGGAAAGAAAAACCTAGTTTGCCTGGCTAAAGGGCAGATAGGACAACTAAATGATTGTTTAAGAGGAAATTTAAAATTTATAGCAGATATAGTTTTCAGTTTAGAGAAAGGAATATGTCTAAGTCTGTAATGGCAAACAACCTCAGCTTTATTCATATTATCAATAGCTGACATGGTATCTACAGAGGAACATTCATCAGTTACACTAGCATGAACAACAGAATTAGAACATGAAACATTTGAAACAACAAAGTGAACAAAAGAAGAAAATTGTGGGCTAGGAGCAATGACAGACTGAAACAACTTGTAGAGGCCATTGTCCAGCTTACCAAGTACCACTGTCTTCCTCACTGGAGGGCCCTGTAAAGTACAAGCAGCCTTGATAAATTGTACAATGTCATCACAATAAGAGAGTAATTTGTAGACAAAAATAAGATTGTATTGAAAACTGGGAACGTAAAGCACATTGTGCAATATCAAATCAAGCAATAAGGCCAATGAACCAATATTGGTAACTTTGACTTTATACCCATTTGAAAGAGAAACAAGGTATGGGACATGTAAGGTTTAAACATTAAAAAGTAAATTCCTAGTGGAAGTCATATGGTCAAAAGCCCCAGAGTCTATGATCCACACTATTCCATCCACTTTGGTCAACATGCATGCACCATAAGATACACCAGGGGGAATTAACTCACCAGCAAAATTGACTGATCCCATCAAATTTGAAGCAGATGGAGAAGGAGACAAATGTGACTGTTGAAGTAACATCATCAATTGGGAATACTGATCCTTGGTAAGCCCAGGAATAACATACATCTCTTCAAACTGTGGAACAGTACCATGCTCAGTAGAGATGTCACCAATCCCAGATTCAGCAGGGCTGGTAAGCTCAACATGTGCAGCAGTCTTTCTAAAGTTAGGAGATATAGTAAACTTGAAGTTTGGGGGAAAACCATGGCATTTGTAGCATTTGTCTATAGTATGGCCAGGTTTCTTACAGTATTTGCAGGTGACATTTGGTTTAGATGGGTCAAAATTCACCGTAGAAGAATAACCCTGTTTGGAGATCCCAGCACTAAAAGAGGCAGAGGTAGAAGGAAATTGAGTCCCAACAGATACATTCCTCTGCTTCTCATCAAATAGCAAGATGTTATACATAGTCCCAACTGAAGGAAGAGGCTTCATCATCAGAATGTTACTCCTGGTTTGAACATATGTGTCATTCAAACCCATCAAAAACTGATAGGCCCTCTGTTCCTCATTCTCTGCAGACATAGCCCCACAAGAACACACCCTAGCTCAACCAGCAGATATGGAAGTTATTTCATCCCATAATTGTTTGATTTTATTAAAGTATGAGGCTATGTCGAGGGACCCCTGGGAAATATGTGCTAATTCTTTCTTAAGTTCAAATGCTCTAACCCCATCGGCCTTACCATACCTCACTTCCAACCCGTTACAAATTTCCCTAGCAAACTCTGAGTACTCCACACTACGAAATATTTCCTTAGACAAGGAGTTCACCAACCAGGAGATGACAAGGTTATTGCACCTCTGTCATTGTTTGGCTAGATGGGAGGTAGTGAAGGCTTCTGGGAATTTCCATTTATAAAATCTAGTTTGTTTCTAATGGACAGTGCGATAAGGATATTATGCCTCCAACTACCATACCCAGTTCCATCGAATGAGGTGGAGACCAATGAGGTCCCCAGAACATCTATGGGTGCACATATAGAGGATGACATAGATGAGTATAGTCATCCTCATGGAAAGCAGTGCGAGAAGTTGTAGGAGTTGAAGATGTATCAGAAGCTCCGTTAGTCATGTTATCAGATTCACAATCAACCAGACAGAAAACTTAGGTCATGCAAGCGGAAATATGAAGATGTAATGATAAGTGAAGTTGATGTTACCAATCTCTTTCGCAACCGGAAAGAGCTACGGCCTTCAAACAAAAAACACCTCAATAGCCGCCATAAAACTCTTATACGAGAAAACCCTAATTTCAGTCGAAATCCTTGAAGTCGTCTGAAAGAAAAAATTCACCGCTGTAATGCACTGGAGTAGATGAGATAACACAAATACTGGAGAACTCAGGTGAAGAATCGAACATAGAATCCAACACCAGACCACGAACAACAAATGAAATAAAAAATCAAAGGAAGTACGAAAAATCCGATGAGAGAAGATGAGTGTAGCATCGATTGAATTCATAGCATGAGATTTACACGGATCTCAGCTCTGATACCATGTAAACGTGAAGAAACGAGGTAAACGAAGAAGGAGAGATTCTAGGGTTTACACCATGTTTAGAGAATCAGAAGCTTCGTGACTTTGTCTCTTCTGTGTATTGAGAAAAATGAATCAGAGAGTTGTTACTACAAAGGTGGGCTTCATTATTTATAGTGACCCGAAAAAAATATAAAAAATACAATGGACTACTAACTATTACAAATGGGCTATCTTTAGGGAAAGTTTCATAAGTGGGAAATATTTAAGAAGTAATTATACCAACCTAGCAGGGCTACTTAATAAACAAAGATGGCAGTAAAATAATTATAAAATTAGCAGAAACGTATCCGCATATCTCGCCCACTCAACCCCATTAACTATTTTCCTATTTTATCGATAAATATCCAATAAAAAGGACTAGATCCCCTTGTTGCCTTTGGCACAATACATCACAATGGACACTTGCATATGGCTGTAATATTTGTCTAAGTTTATATGTGTTATTCACTATTGCATCTATTAACTGTATTATGTGTTATGTTATATACATTGTATAAATAGTAATATAATATGTATTTAAGTGTGAATATAAAGATATATATTTTTTTTGTGAATATAAAGATATATAAATTAAAAATATATGATATATAAATTGTATAATCATATTTATAATGTGTATATAAGTGTGAATCAAAGAAATTAAACATACTTGTTATTTAACTTAAAATATCACATCCTTCAATGTAAAAATACACTGTATATATACTAGGAAAAATATATGGTATATAATATGAATTATATGATTTATACAAATATAATTTCTTAAAAATTATTATAAATTATACTAGATATATAGATGGTATATAATATGTCAATTTTGTATTCTATAATTCATCACGTTTAGCAAAACTATAATGAATGAAGACTTGGTAAAAAAGTAAAAGATGAACAATAAAAGGCAGCTACTGAAATGTTCACATGAGAATAGCAGCTATTCAAATTTGTTCCATCCCTATTTCATATGAGAATAGCTCTATTTTCCTTACATTTTTTCTTCTTATTTTCCTTTTTTCTTTGTTTTCCAAAAATATGCCTCTTGCTATAACAATACTATCATAAGCAACTGCGATATTCTGATGATTATACATTGTATAATTATGGTATCATGTGTATCTAAGTGTGAACTAAGATAAATATAAATTAACAATACCAAATCCTATAATTCACAAAAACTACATGGTATATATATAATCTATAATTATGATTTATGCAGCAAATAAGATTTAAAAAACATTAATAATTATACAAGGAATATTTATGGTATATAATATATTCATTATATATTTATGAAATAATTTTGGCATATAGCATATCTAATAAAAAATATTTTATTTTATAAATGATATGTTAATGGTATAAAGTATATGTGTTTGTGCATGTTTGTTTTAGCTAAAACATATTCTTGTATATTTATGGAATAAATAAAAATACATAGCATAATATTCATTATATTTTTATGAACAACGAAAGAGCCGTTATGGTCCAGTTGAAAAAGTTGAAGATGTAAAATGAGAGGGGTGAGAGAGAATGGAGTGGTCTGTACGAAGGGAAGAGAGAGAAAGATTAGGTTTTGAGGGGGATAAATTAATGAGAACAAATTAGTAATCCATCCCTTAATTAGTGATTCCTTAATTAATGAATCATTTAAAACATATAGGCAAATAAACGTATGAGTTTTTTAAAACATGCCATAATTGTAAATCAATTTGCTGTTTTTGAAATAAAGCAAAAGTAATACCATTTATATTATTAACTCTTTAAAAAAGATCTGGCTTCAGCCATTCTAGCTCCGTCCCTGCTTGTGCTATTCTTATACCAAATTAACAACTCACATTATAATTTCAATATAACTTGTACATAGATCAATTATGTTATATATTGGGAGAGAGTTCAAAGTAAGGGTGCGCAGGGGTGTAGGTGTGCTCCAGTTTAGAAACCACTGAAATTCAGATTTGTGACTCTACTTATGCTATCCCATGAGGGGACCAATTCCTACTCTTTTCACACTGTTCATAATAATTAAATAAGTTACTCATAATTTCCATTATTCAAAACCCTTAAATCATTCCCACAGAATTCTTTTTAGCAAAGAGAAATGAAGTTATCGCCTATATAAGGAGTATTCCCTCCCTCTTTACATACATTAATTCTACCTCCTCATTCATTTATGTACTTCAGAAGCCTCCATCATCTCATCTATTCAATTTAAACCTCAAACCTTGATTGTAAGAATTCGTGCCTCACTTCTCTCTCATTGTATATTTCTACATACAGGAATTTCTTAACCTTCCTCCTTATACATATACCTTCGAAACAGTACGAGAACACTAGTCTCTAGCTGCTTGAATATCAGTCTTTTGCATGCCTCTTGTTTCTGTCTCAGTTCTCATTGATTCAAATAATTTCTAACAATCCATTTTCTCGTGAACCCAACCGATCGGGTGTTAGAAAGTGAAAAATAATGGATCATGAAGTGTTTGAAAACGTGAAATATGAGAAAGCCAGAGCAATGGTACGGTTCAATCGGTTTCGGAAAATGATGAAGTTGTTGCAATTTGTTGAAGTGCTCTTGGCCTTCATGTTTATTTCCTGGTCCTGGACATATCTCCCGGCCGCCGTTAAATTCTCCGGCGACTTATTGGTCGAACTCTCAGTTTATATATTCAATCCTCATGTCATTTTTCTCATTGGCAACGCAATTATTGTCTCTGTCTTATTGCTCTGCCGTCAAACAGAAGCCGAGAACCACTCCGTCACTGGCGGTATCCACCGCGACGATGTCCGCTCCTGTGAAGTTCAACTACCGATTGTCACTACCTGTGACGGCTATGTGGTAACTTCATCACCTTCTTCGTCGCCGGGCATTGCGGTGCCTAATTTCGCCGGAGATGAAAGTAAGCAGATTGTTTGCTCAGAAAGCAAGGTGCCGAATAAGGTGCAAAGCGACGCCGCAGAGACGACAATAGATGTAACAACGAAGAATATACAGATACTTCAAAGGACTAAATCGGAGAATTTGAAGCAAGAGATTCCAGTGAATCCTTCAAAAAAGCTCCGGCGTTCCCAGACAGACATGTCGGCGGTAGACACACTTAGCAGCGAAGAATTTAAGCTTACTATTGAAGCGTTCATAAAGAAGAATCAAATCTTTTTTGAGAAACAGAGACTAGCTGAAACAGAGCAGGAAAAATTGATCACATAAGTTTGTGGACAAGGATTTACATTTTGGGCGATTGTAAGATACTCATTCAATTCAAATCCGTAGTATTACGAGTTCGATTTTTAAAACATATTGATAAATTGAGTTTTCCACATGTTAATTATGTTTGAAAAATTACAAGAAATTGCAGTTGAAGGAGCAGTAATTACTAATACTAGAAAGCAAAGATAATCAGTTTAATTATAGATAGCATGTGACTGTACAAGGATTATTTCTGCGGTTCTGCCTATTCCCTGCTTTCTTCTTCTTCTTCTTCTTCTTCTTTCTTCTTCTTTCTTCTTCTTCTCGATTTGGGAAGAAAAGTTTTATTCAGCGGTAACATTTCTTTGCTCTTTTTCCAGCCTTATTTGATTTGGATTTATTATTTTCTTCTATATTAATAGCTTGGATTTTTAGCAAAAGAGATCTAAATTTTAAATTAATAATTACATAGTACTGCTATTTTATTACTCACTCCATTCTAGTTTATGCAAACGTGTTACTATTTGTCAAATATTGTCACAATCCAATTTAGGATCGTGACCGTCGCTTTGGAGCAAGTGCTCTCAAGAAAGCCTTATTGGTGTTTTACAGAAAAACAGACAGAATTTCCCTTGTTTTTGGACTATCCCAAAAATATTTCCTAGCTAAAAATCAACAACCAACCATCCTAATATCAAACCAAACAACAACAACTTATCAATTAACCCAAATAAGTCTCCACCATTACTAATCAACTCACTAACAACCAGAAATACTAATTTATCTCCAAATTCGATAAGAAAGTGCAATACTCATCATAAATCTAATAACGAAAGAATACTCATGACACTAAAATAATGACTATGGAGAGACTCTAAGAGTTCAAAGAAAAGACCATAACAATAAATAAAATCTCCGCTCACGCGAACAAGTGCGAGGCTCACCAAGAACTATCAACCTATGTGCTCTAATTAACGAAATCCTCGCTTTCGTTACATACTGTCTCTGAAAAAAATAGTGGGGAGTGAGTCGCTAGCTCAGTGAGTAATAACACTTAACCACAACCGTTTTTATTAGGGACAAGTGAGAAAACATGCTAGTATATTGAATAGAAAATATCATAAGAATGCCCTTTCAGAACCAATAAATAATTTTCAGTCTCATCATATTTTTCATGTAATATAATTCAATTGACAATTCAGTAATAAGCTTAGTAGACACTATCTAATATCAATATTCATATTTGGGAGGTTTCAATGAACGGATCATGTAATCAGTATAACTGTGGACGTCTTCACAAGAAGTCAAATATAACGGTAGTCCCTACTCGAGGGAAATCGGTAATTTCAAGGTGCACCAGGTCTAACGAACCCGCCGTTAGCTACGAGATCCTTCAAAGTCTACTCTCATTTATACTTGTCTCTGTAATCCGTATATACTCATAGAAAAATATTTTAAAATAATATAGGGCATTTCGATTCTTATCAAATCATGTAATTTTATTTCGATAACAGTAAATTCAAGTAACGGTAAAATATATCTAGTGACAACAAGAATATTTAAAACAACGGTAATCATCTCAAATAATTATTTCGGTATCAAATCGAGTAAAAGACTTGTCCCATATGCAACTCAAAATAATCGGTAACATATTCATATTAAAAATCATGTGTAAATCATGCAAGTTATGAAAACACAAATTGCAGTAAGATTACTACTCACCTCTTGATTCCTACTAGCCAAAGCTCGACTTCTGATCGATCCAAACGCCCAATTTGTGTGAAATCTATAAATCAATATAAGTCTAGTGTTACTACCCATCAACCCCGCAATCTATTCTCTAAATAAATATAATTCTCTTTTTTCTTTCTTTCTATTTTCAAACCTTTCCAACTTCTTTACTAGTATTCTAGTATCTTGACGTCCAACTCAAATAATTGAAAGTACAAATTTGATATTTATTCACCTAATTTATTACTCAAAACTTAATTTTGTTCTCTGTATCTTGTGCGACAAAACAGTCTAATAGATTGTTCAATAGTAATTATAACAACACCTTAAGTTCTTGTTTCTTTCTATCACAGGGAAATACCAAACTAACTCTTAATATTGTAATTTATCTCAAATTTGATAAAGGTCGATATATATATATATATATCCATTTAAGCATAAACTAAACTACTACACTGTTTTTTTTCCTTCCCTTTTTCTTTCTTTTTCTTTACATATGATTATTTTCTTCTCTAAGCGTATTGGTCAAAACCAGAAAAAGATATAAATTTTCCATAATATTTCTCATAGGTATTAAATCTTTAAAAAAAATTTAACCTAATAAGATTGCCTAGACAAAAGAAGCAATTCAACCAAAATTGTAGAAAGAAGTGAACTTTTTAACTAGAGAAAAGATTGCGCTAGAAGGATTATGAACAAGCACCAAGAGTAAAACCTTCTTTTTCTTCTATCTTCTTTGTAAAGTTATTTTTTTTATTAGTATTTCACCCAAATTCCTTTTCTCTATTGTCTGCTGCGTACCCTTTCCCCTTAACCCCTTTTTCTTCTTTTACTTTTTGCCAGATTTTCATCTGGTGGGTTTCGCCCTCCTCCCCCCCCTTTTTTTTACTTTTTTTTAATCCCCCCCAAATTAGGAGGATCTATAGTTTTTTCACACTTTCCCTCAGCGTGACTCGAACCCAGGACCTAACGGTCGTGGGTGGAGGTGCTTTACCAGCTGAGCAAACCTCACTTGTCAACTGAGCAAGCCTCACTTCGGCCCTTTTGCATCTCATTTCCCTTTTTAAAAAAAACATAATTAGTTTGCTAAATGACCATTGTGTCCTTATTTAAAAGTTATGTGATATTACATCCTCCCCACCTTATAAAAATTCGGTCCCTGAATTTCAAGTAGCTTCTTCAACTGTATGATTTCGCCATAAGACTTTTACAAACTCAATTTCTTTTGACCGTAGCTTTCTTACTTGCCTATTAGCAATAGCCATCGGTTCCTCCTCGTAAGACAACTTCTCATCAAGCGGTATAGTAGGTGCTTCAAGCATCTGAGATGAGTCTGATATACATTTCCTTAGCATTGAGACATGAAACACTGGATGAATAAACGACAACTCAGGAGGAAGTGCCAAACGATAAGCCACAGCTCTCACTCGGTCTAGTATCTCATACGGTCCTATAAACCTGAGGCTCAACTTGCCTCTTTTCCCAAACCGTATCACACCTTTCATAGGGGAGACTCGTAGGAACACTTTGTCCTCAATTGTAAACACTAAATCTCTTCTACTCTTATCAGCATAAGACTTTTGTCTACTTTGAGATGTGAGTAATCGTTGTCTGATCAACTGGACCTTGTCAATAGTTTCTTGTACTAAGTCGGGTCCCAATAAGTTAGTCTCACCAGTTTCAAACCATCCGATAGGAGAATGTCATCTTCTACCATACAATGCTTCGTACGGTGCCATTTGAATACTGGACTGGAAGCTATTGTTGTATGCAAATTCAGCTAAAGGTAGATAAGCGTCCCAACTACCTCCAAACTCAAGAATTCAAGCTCTCAACATATCCTTCAAGATCTGTATAGTACGTTTAGACTGCCCGTCTGTCTGTGGATGAAATGCAGTACTAAGATCTACTCGTGTACCCAATGCTTCTTGAAAAGATTTTCAAAAGTGTGAGGTAAATTGTGATCCTCTATCAGAGATAAATATCTGTGCATACCTCACTCCACCATATGTAGTCTTCGCTGGCAAAAAGTGTGCTGATTTTGTCAGTCGATCTACAATTACCCACACAGAATCATAACCTCTAAGAGTATGGGGTAGGCCAGTCACAAAATCCATGGTAATTCTTTCCCATGTCCACTCTAGAATCTCAATTTGTTGTAGTAGTCCTGCTGGTCGTTGATGCCTTGACCTGCTGACAAGTCAAACAATTAGAAGTTAGTAACATCTTTCTTCATACCTTCCCACCAATAAAATTACTTTAGATCATGATACATTTTTGTGGATTCGGGATGTATAGTGTATCTAGAGTTGTGAGCTTCTATAAGAATAGCATGTCTCAACCCATCTACGTCTGCGACACATAGCCTGTCACCCATTTGAAGAACACCATCACTTTCAACAATCATATCCTTACTTTTACCAGCTAAGGCCTCATCTCTGTACTTGCAAAAACGCTCATCCTCATATTGGGTGGCCTTAATGCGCTCAACTAATGAAGACTTAGCTTGAACACAAGCCAACAATGCCTCTAAATTTTTGACACTAAATCTAACACTTGTACCCTCTAGTCTATGCATATCTTCAACCAAAGGTCTCCTTGCAGGAACTATATGTGCCAAACTTCCTATAGATTTTCTGCTCAATTCGTCAGCCACAACATTGGCTTTTCTAGGATGATACAAAATAGAACAATCATAGTCTTTGAGTAATTCCATCCACTGAAGTTGCCGAAGGTTCAGATCTCTCTGCTGAAAAATGTACTTCAAACTCTTAAGGTTAGTATAAATTTCACAAGTTTCACCGTATGGGTAATGCCTCCAAATATTTAGAGCAAATACCACTGCAGCCATCTCCAAATCATGTGTAGGATAGTTTTGCTCGCGCTTTTCCAATTATCTCGAAGCATAAGCTATAATGTGACTATTTTGCATGAGAACACATCCTAATCCCACTCTCGATGCATCACAGAACACCGTAAATCCTCCAGAACCCGATGGTAAGGCTAATATGGGTACGGTTGTCAGACACGTTTTGAGTTTTTGAAAGCTCTGCTCACATTCTTCTGTCCACTGTAACTTTGAATTTTTATATGTTAGCTTAGTTAGTGGCGCTGCTATTCTGGAGAAATCCGGCACAAAATGCCTGTAATAGCCTGCCAAGACTAAAAAGCTACGAATCTCTGTAGGAGAAGTAGGTATGGGCCATTTCTGCATAACTCAGTACGAATCTCTGTACTGAGTCTAGACAAAATTCACACTTCGAGAACATAGCATAAAGGTGATGTTCTCGTAATGTCTACAACACAGTCCTCAAATGATTCTCAAGTTCTTCCCTGCTACGAGAATATATCAGGATATCATCAATAAATACTATTACAAATCTATCCAAAAATGGCTTAAACACCCTATTCATTAAATCCATGAATGCAGCTGGAGCATTAGTCAATCCAAAAGACGTCACAAGAAACTCATAGTGTCCATATCGAGTTCTAAAAGCAAACTTAGAAATATCTTCATCTTTGATTCTAAGCTGATGATAACCAGACCGGAGGTCAATCTTTGAAAAGTGAGCAGCTCCTTGTAACTGATCAAACATGTCATCTATACGAGGCAAGGGATATTTATTGC